CTCCACAGACTCCTAAGTGCACCACTCACCCTTTTCCCCTCATCAATTCTATGATTCACCTCATCTTTCATAGACCCATCCGCTGACACGTCCACTCCCAAATATTCTGAATACATTCACCTCCTCCATACTCTCTCCCTCCAATCTGATATCCAATCTTTCATCACCTAATCTTTTTGTTATCCTCATAACCTTACTCTTTCCTGTATTCACTTTCAATTTTCTTCTTTTGCACACCCTACCAAATTCATCCACCAATCTCTGCAACTTCTCTTCAGAATCTCCCAAGAGCACAGTGTCATCAGCAAAGAGCAACTGTGACAACTCCCACTTTATGTGTGATTCTTTATCTTTTAACTCCACGCCTCTTGCCAAGACCCTCGCATTTACTTCTCTTACAACCCTATGGCCGGTGGCCTGGTGGCTAAAGCTCCCGCTTCACACACGGAGGGCCCGGGTTCGATTCCCGGCGGGTGGAAACATTTCGACACGTTTCCTTACACCTGTTGTCCTGTTCACCTAGCAGCAAATAGGTACCTGGGTGTTAGTCGACTGGTGTGGGTCGCATCCTGGGGGACAAGATTAAGGACCCCAATGGAAATAAGTTAGACAGTCCTCGATGACGCTCTGACTTTCTTGGGTTATCCTGGGTGGCTAACCCTCCGGGGTTAAAAATCCTAACGAAATCTTATCTTATTAAACACTATAATATACAGTGGACCCCCGGTTAACGAACTTTTTTCATTCCAGTAGTATGTTCAGGTGCCAGTACTGACCGAATTTTTTCCCATAAGGAATATTGTGAAGTAGATTAGTCCATTTCAGACCCCCAAACATACACGTACAAACGCACTTACATAAATACACTTACATAATTGGTCGCATTTGGAGGTGATCGTTAAGCGGGGGTCCACTGTAATCCCATTAGGGTCCAGAATTAACAATACAAACATTCCTAGCACTAAAATAACATTTTCTCTGTTCATTAGTCACATCTCCAGGCCCTTCTTATATGACGCATGCTTTCCATTTTGAATTTTTATTCACACAAAAAATAGAAGATTTACTGTTATGCACATTACTTCATTATTGTAAAAATGGTATAAATAATATCAGCGCATTTGTGAAAGCATGTTAGACCCACCAACTGATGTGTATTGAACGCGTGACGTGATTTCTTTACTCTTGAACACTGACAAAAATTGAACATTTCTGCTACTTTGAACTCAATTTCAAGGTACTTTTAGACCATAAACCATTCAAAATCATCTCTATTTCCATAATAAATCTTTCATTTATGAAATGAGACCAAGAAAATAATTTTTTTTTAACAAGTCGGCAGTCTCCCACTGAGGCAGGGTGACCCAAAAAGAAAAAATCCCCAAAAAGAAAATACTTTCATCATAATTCAACACTTTCACCTCACTCTCACAATCACTGTTTTTTCAGAGGTGCTCAGAACACAACAGTTTAGAAGCATATACGTATAAAGATACACAACATATCCCTCCAAACTGCTAATATCCCGAACCCCTCCTTTAGAGTGCAGGCATTGTACTTCCCATTTCCAGGACTCAAGTCCGCCTATATAAAAATAACCAGTTTCCCTGAATCCCTTCACTAAATATTACCCTGCTAACACTCCAACAGATCGTCAGGTCCCAAATACCATTCGTCTCCATTCACTTCTATCGAACACGCTCATGCACACCTGCTGGAAGTCAAAGCCCCTCGCCCACAAAACCTCCCTTACCCCTTTCTTCCAACCTTTCCGAAGATGACCCCTACCCTGCCTTCCTTCCCCTACAGATTTATATGCTCTCCATGTCATTCTACTTTGATCCATTCTCTCTAAATGACCAAACCACCTCAACAACCCCTCTTCAGCCCTCTGACTAATACTTTTATTAACTCCACACCTTCTCCTAATTTCCACATTCTGAATTTTCTTCATAAAATTTTACACCACACATTGCCCTTAGACAGGACATCTCCACTGCCTCCAACTGCCTCCTCACTGCTGCATTCACAACCCAAGCTTCACACCCATATAAGAAAATAATACAACCATAAATACCATACAAAAATACACTGCATAGTGTTTTTTTCTCTGCATGCAGCATTTTTTTTTTTTTTATACAGCACGCACTGACCATTCAGGCCTACCAGCTTTCGCCCACAAGATTTGAGACTGCTAGGATTCTGGCGTAATATTACAGGACCGACACTGGCTTGCAAGCTGTAATATTACAGGACTGACAGTGAAAGGCTTAACAACATCCTCATTGCTAAACATAACTAGGGAAAATTCCTGGGTCTGCACCTTGACAGCAACCTGAACTTCAACATCTATATCCAGCACATAACAAAAACAGTATCTAAAAGAGCTGGCATCCTTTCAAAGATATATTACTATGTACCACAAACAGCACTACTTGCACTACAATATTCACTGATCTACCCCTACCTCACCTATGCTATTTGTGCCTGGGGCTCCACAACAACTAATCATCTAAAGCCAATAATAACCCAACAAAAAAACTGCGGTGCGACTGCTCACACAATCCGCAGCTAGACAACACCCCCTTCCCTTTCAAAGAACTAAACCTACTCGCCATACGAAACATCCACTCGTACTATTGTGCAACCTACATTTACAGAACAATCAATTCTAATACAAATCCCGATCTGAAGCACTTTCTTCACAGTTGCAACAGGACCCACAGACACAATACTAGACAATAATCTCTGACATTTCCCATGTCAGGTTAATTTTTTTCAAAAACTCAATGTACAGGTCTCCCTCAACATTCGCGTTTTCAACTTTCATGGGCTTCACACATTCGCGAATTCCCAACTGCCAAATCATATTTAAGTTTCCCACCACCGAGTCCCTACTACCCTCCCTCTGACCCCCAAAACTGGCAGCCAGCCCTCCCACCACTCAGTGTAGCAAGTGTTTTGTTTGTTCATTATTTGCTATTAAACTACAGTACGTATAAATAATGTCAACCCATTCATGACTGAATATTGGAATGGCTATTCGGACAGGTATTGGATGGTGACATCATATGTTTACTCTTGAACATGGCAAAGAATCAAACATCTCTGCTACTTCAATGCTACAATAGCATTGAAGGAAATTATAAAAAAATACGAGGGTTGAAGGAGTGGTGGAAGAAGTGGTTGAGGCATCGTCAGTGTGGCTTTGTTCATGCTGGAGTGAGCATTAGTCTCCACACTCTTCCAAACATTTCACAATAATTCATTGTGTTTGGTGCTTGTAGATTGAGTGCAACTGCTACATAATTAACCATGGGCCCAAAGAAACTTGCTAGTGCCAGCCCTTTGGTAAGAAATTGAGAAACACAATATAATTGAAGAAAAAAATTGTACCAAAATATAAGGAGTGTGCCACAGAGGTTGGGGCACTGGTGGAGGCAGTGGTATTTAATAAAATACATGTTATTAAACCATAACATGTATGTATTTAGTACAATATTTTACGACATTCTCATGTAATTTATGATTGTTCATGGTTCAACAAGTAAGCAGTATTGTATTATATTTCCCTACAATACATTGGGGCACCAAACATTAGCGATTTTTCAACATTCGCGAGGCTCTTGATCCCTAACCCTCGTGAATGTTGAGGGAGACCTGTACATAAAAGAACCCAAAATCTGGAACTTCTTTTCTTTCAACAAACCAGCTGTATCCCACCAAGGCAGGGTGGTCCAAAAAGAAAAACAAAAGTTTCTCTTTTTAAATTTAGTAATTTACACAGGACAAGGGGTTACTAGCCCCTTGCTCCCGGCATTTTAGTCGCCTCTTACAACATGCATGGCTTACAGAGGAAGAATTCTGTTCCACTTCCCCATGGAGAAAATCTGAAACTCTCTGCCAGAAATCTCCAGAACCACTGGCTCAGCTAGCATTTTTAAAACTACAGTTAGAAAACACCTTATCTCCTTAACCTATCTAGCCTATCATAAATAAATATGTAAAAACTATACGTGCATTTGCTCAATATCATAAACATAGGTAAAACACTATAATCAATAAATACTTACTCCCAATATCTGTAATCCTCTCAAATGTTAATCATTCCATCGTGTCCACCTTAGGTTAATAATCAAAACTAATTCTCTACCAAACTTATTAATGCCATATAGCATGAACTAATAGAATATTTAATTGTCTTGTATTCATTGTAACTCACCTAATGACAGACTATTCAGTACAGAAAATAACTAAATCATGAATAACTAAAAATTACTCAAAATGACCAAAAGTAATCAGAAATAATGAAAAAGGACTAAAAATGAGAAAACTAAAAATTAGGATGTATGTAAACAAAAGATGACTTATACATAGGGTTTGCTACTATCCAGGGTTTCAGATATCTACAGTAGGTCTTGGAACATATCCCCAGCAGATACGGGGGTCATACTGTATGGCATTTTGCATCTTTTACAATAGTGTCAGCATTTTATACTGTTAATAAACGTGATACATTTTATACAGAAATGGGCAACAGAGTGCACGTTGAAAGCCCCTAATTATGCAGAGCATTTCAGGCAGGCTTAAACCTAACTTAAAGACTACAAGGCCATCTTTATGTCATGCCACGGTACTACAGCCTCTCTTCACTTAGCGACATACTTGTTTACCGACAACTCAGACTTACGACGCACTCTGACCAGTATACATGCCTAAATAATTTATATTAGAGTTGATTTCCTCTATTCTGTTTATTACAACATACAGTACACTACTGTATAAACATTTAAAAATATACCAGAAGTGTCAAATGGTTCAAAGGTGACATTAAAATAATATCAAAGATGGTTGACACAAACCCACTACCATTACAGTATTCTCCTCACTTAGCGACAAATTTATTTACCAATGTGGTCTTAGGAATGAAACTCAGTCATTAAGTGAGGAGAGGCTGTATAGCAATATAAAAAAATATTTGAATAAAATGTCACACTTACAATGAGTTTGGAGAGTCCTAAAAACATGTCGGCTGCCAACGCACTAATGTTATTCTGTGCCAAGTAGAGTTCCTCAAGCTGCCTTTGATTCTCAAAAGTTTTAGGCATCACTTGCATTATCACATTTTTGCTGAAAAACCAAAAAAACATTTGAGGAAAACTAAGCCTATTAAGAAGTTCACTTCTAAACTAAAAAATAAATGGTTGTTTTTTCCAGAGGAAGATGAAGCATCATTCTGAAAATTTTAAAATGGGTAACTAAAGTTAATGAACTTTAAGCATAGTTTAGCACAGTTAAGTGAAGCTGCTGTGCCAGTTTTGGTGTAAATTTAGCAAATGGCATATTAAATATTTGTATAACTATTTCACCATTTCCAATTTGTAAAAAACTAAACACCACTATTATTTTTTGACTTATCTTCCTCCAATCATTAAAAGACACTATGTCAAATGCTGCTTAGCAAGTGTTGGTCAAAATCACAATACACAAGAAAATATACAACACAAGACTAGCAAATGTATAAATTTGGTATTTAAATTTTGAATTATGAGCATGCATTAAATTAAACCTTTTTAAATACTCCATTGTATATTTATGAAGATTCTCCAATGTTTAGCCTTATTTATAATTACTTTTTTAATTGTTTATTTATAAATATCACAGCAGAAGAGAATCATGCAAATTATGATTTAAAAATTAAGAACAGCCTCTATAATGCTTTTCACATTGTTAAAATTCAGTGTTGAAGCTGTGCAAATTACTATAAATTGGAAACTCATTCAAAAGAGTAATCTTCAGCAAAGAATCTTCAATGGTTTTTTTAATTACTATGAAAAATTTTAACGAGAGTTTAAGGGAAGCTTGATAGATCCTTATTACCTAGAGTATACCTGTAGAGGGTTTCTGGGGTCAATGCCCCCACGGCTCAGTCTGAGACCAGACTTCATGGTGGATCAGGAATATTGTCCAGTTAATCATAACCATAATATTTTTTTAAGGGGTAGACTGGTAAGCCAGCAGAAGGCCTCGGTCTGATGACCAAAAGCTCCAGCTGTGGATTAACACATGACTAAGACCTGCGTCAGGAAACACTCGTCCTATTTCCTGACAAACCTTACCTAACCTAACTGGCAGCGTCATCATCTTTATGCTACTCAATCCATACCCAATGAAGGGCAATAAACCCATAGGGATCATACAGTACCTAGGTATAAGGGAGGCATTCAGGTTTGATCCAAGGGAAAATCACTAGGGTAGTGCAAAGGGAGGCTTCAGGCTAAAAAATTCCTTCAGCTCCCCAATGAAAAATAGTGATACTAATAATACCACTGCTTTAAAAAAAAGTCTTCTACCTTCCTTCTAATTAGATACCTATAAGTCTTCCCCAAGTATAGAAATTCTGCCTCTGTCACTGGGTAGAGCATGTCTAATTCCTCAGGTCAAAAGCTTCACCAGCATCAAGGAATGTTGCCCGAGGGATGCCTGATGAAGATCAACGTTTAACTGGTTGCTGATAATTTTCAACCAGTTTAATGGACATATTAATCAGTGTGTAATAACAATTGTTTATTACAATTATTTTACACATTTACAATTAATCAGCAATGATAATTTTGTTTTACAATCAACATCTTTGAAGTCTTCAGAAAATATGCAAGAGAAAATGTAAATTTAACAAATCAGAGATGCTTAAGTAAATTACTACTATACATCAAAGTAAAATGCACCGAGATATACGTTTGAATTCTTTAACACGAAACGTTCAGAAATTGCTGCTGGGTAATGCACAAGAAAAATGGTGTAAAATGAAGAGGTACTGCATATTTGTAACACTTCAGATTCAAACTGGATATTAACTTGCCAGTGAACACCAATATACTGTGATACCAGATTTCACAAGAGTGGAGAATTAAGTTTTTTCACAGTAATATGCAGCCAGTTTCATTCACTAAGAAATTAAAAGGTAAAATTAAAGCCATGTACAGAACTTAATTTCTAGTTTAGGGTGCTATTGACTGCTACAGAAAGGTTAAAATACTATCAAAAATTCTTGTATGCTAATGAGGATTTATTAAACATTCACATGCAACAATGAGAATTTTAACCTTTTTTAATTAAGTAAACTGTTAAATGTCAAAGTACATTAAAGAAATGGAATTCTATGTAACTATTTTACTCTTACACTATGTACTGTAAGTCCTTGTTGAGCACTATGCCAATGATCTTAAAACACCAACCTAAGATTAACATGACGGAGATCCAGGTACCAGTGCAGTGAATTTATGTCCAGTGTGTGAATTTCTGTGCCATACATGGTAAGCTGCTGCAGTGCTGGGTTGAAGGTCAGTGGCAGAACATCAATTTTTGATGGCTCACAGCGGACAACAAGGGCCTGGAATGAACAATACAAGTCAATAATGGGTCTTGAGCAGCTGATGCAACCCTTATTGTAATAATTATATGTAACAATACCAACAAATACACAGGAAGATTTCCATCTACACAATAGCCTATAGTTTAGCAGAAGTGTTTCAACAATAAAGATACCCAACTGTTGCACATGCATCTTGCTCTCAACCTTTACTGCATGTTATACTGTGTATAATTCAAACTTCTCCACAGTGTGTGAGAAAGAGGAAGGGGAAAGGAGAAATTATGAGAGCCATTGGTTGAACAGTCAATTCCAATAGTCTTGAACACCAAGCTTGTCACCATTAATTCTCACAGCTGTATAGCCACACTGGTTGTAGCGCACATGTAAAAAAAATAACCACCACTCCTCACTCTGACCCCTGTAGGTCACTCAGCCATAAAAAAAAAAAAACTACATACAAGTGGGCCCACTTTACAACACTGCACTTTACGGTATTTTGCTAACGCAGCAGTTTTCAAATAGTATACCCATTCCTCATTTATTCAGACTCCCTACAATAAATATATGTATTCACCACTCACTATAAGCTAAGGATAAAAATATTTTAAGGTAATAAGTGTACTATGTTATGGGGCTATAGGACCCAACATGTATTTATGTAACTAAGTAGCAGTTACTTATTATTTGGAATACCTAATTATATTAAACTGCTGGGGGCACAACTGCCTTAATTCTGTCATGAGAGCAGATCACTCTTATGGAGAAAAAGCCAGTCGAGTCAAGCCCTGTATTTCATTACGAATAGGTTCTACTATAAACTCGCACAATTAAAAGAGAGATTATAAAGACAGTACAGTGGACCCCCGGTTAACGATATTTTTTTCACTCCAGAAGTATGTTCAGTTGCCAGTACTGACCAAATTTGTTCATAAGGAATATGTGAAGTAGGGGATTAGTCCATTTCAGACCCCCAAACATACACATACAACGCATTAATACTAAATATTAACTTACATAATTGGTCACATTCAGGAGGTATCTTATGCGGGGTCCATGATATACTCTTTTTAAAGTAAGATAAGGTATAATAATGAAAAAACAATAGAGTTGTTAAAGAATTGTGCATGTCGATGTTCTTTTGTTGTGTAAAAGGTGGGGAGGAGGCTGGGTGGTTCTCTCACTTCTTGTGGTGGTGCCAACATGGCACAAGGACCCTTTCCCCCACTCTTACTTCTGGGCAAGATGTGAGTGCCTAGGAGGTAAGATTTGTACTTGACTATTTTTTGAAGATTGTGACTATTATACCCCGAGTGGCTACAGTGTGTCAAAACAATGGTAAGGCCATTTAAAAAAAAATTACTAATCGTTTCAGATAGGACCATGTGATTGTACTGGCTGAGCTCAGACAGAGGGTGTGCATGCCTTGCTATAAACAGGAAAATGCTTAACTTGTATATTCTGTACATACCTGTCTAGAATATATTCCTATTTTTGTATTAATAGTTTAAATAACCTGTTGAGAGGATTTGTGAACAAAATCTAGAGAGTGAGGATGACTAACCATGAATGTATGTATTCCCTAGACTTTATAAGGCCTTATTTAAGCCACTGAAGTAAAAAGGGACAACGTAACATACTGTTTATGCATCTTTTAGGCCTAGCTTTACTGCTCACTTAATATACATCAGACTTTTTTATGCATCTCAAGTGAAAGAAAAGGCTGTTTCACTTTACAGTGATTTTCACTTTACAGCAGTAGCCCAGAACCAAATCTGTTGTATAAGTGGGGCCCTGCCTGTATGTACAACACAACATAAAAGCAATGATAAAATTAATAAGCAGTAACAACAACAAATACACATCCAACAAATACTATCATACCAAAATAACCAGCATCAATTTAAAGCCCCCATTAAATTATTAATATTAAAAGAGACTTCTAAAAGTTCCCCAAGGTCCCTACAGGCACCTTTGCAATTACAAAAAATCATGACAAAGGTGGAAACACCTTTGTACTTAGGTATTAGGATGCCTGCCCATACATCTCGCCCTGGATTCACATCCAGGTCCTTTTGGGTGCGAGATCAGTTCTCTACCACTGAGCTACAAGACACCTGTGACTGGCTTTGCAGGCTTTTTTAATCTCTCTGTGCAGCCTTTGGTCAGGCTTTGTTGATCTGCCTGTTCAACCACTGAGTAGGAGCAAGATTCACAGGTGAACAGCTGCCAGAGATTAGAAATACAGTTATAGAGGATTCAAAGATGGGGGGGGGGGAAGAGAGGGAAGAGGGGAAGAAGGAAGGAGGGCAGGGAGGAAAACAGGGCAATAGAAGGAGAGGAAAAAATGGGAGGGGGGAAAAAGGGAAAAAGAGGGGAGAAAAGGAGGGGAGGGGGAGAAGAGAAAATGAGGGAGGGGAAGAAAGGGAAAAAGGAGGAGGGAAGAAAGGAAAAGGAGGGGAAGGGGAGAAAGAAAGTGAAGGGGCAGATAGATGGGGAGGGGAGGGAAAGATATCCCATGGTTTGGTTGGTAGCGCGCACAGGTACCATACCAAGTGTCCGTGGTTCGATCCCCGGCACAGGTGGAAACGTTGGTCGTATTTCCTTACACCTGCTGTCCCTGTTCACTTAGCAATAAGTAAGTGACCGAGTGTTAGTCTACTGTTGCAAATGGCATCCCACGGGGCAGGGAGGTAGTATACCACCTTAGCTAGGGCTGGGCTGTGAATGAGCTGAGGCAGGTTATTAAGAGCTCTTGGCTTTTAAATGAAAAAAGGAACTCTTATCCTAACCCTGAAATACCACCGAGCGCTAGAGAGAAAAAATCGTGAATTAGACTGGAGTATCTCTCACCTCATCATCACAGGTACAGTTGCCAGGACAGATAGCCACACAAGGGGTGATGAACGACCCCACAAGCATCAGGCAGTAGATGGCCAAAGACGGCACCAACATCTGTGGCACTTGTCTTCGAAACAATGTGGTGGTGGCAGCAGGGCAGTGCGAGACAGGGGCACCCTTGTGCATCCCCCCTCTATGTTGCTGCTGCTGTGCCCTGCAATGTGACGTGTCTAGTTGGCTGTGTTGCTGCTGCTGCTGTTCCAGCTGGCACCGTTTCACTGGCTCTTGCCTTGCTGTCTCGTCTCCCTGATGTCTCTCCATGGCAGCCATGGTCGGCAGCTGAAACACAAAAGGAACATTATCACAAATCGCCATTACGACATACTGATGTACGAGACGATAGCATTGCAATATGCTGAGTACCCAAGCGGAATACCAGTCTATATAATGAGATGGGTTTCAAGCACTTGAAACAACACAACTTTTCGATACATTTCGAAGTTAAAGAGGATGATATTACATGGAATAGTTTGGAGATGGCGACTCTGCCAAACTTTTGTGGATCATTGTTTTAACTTAGTGAAACTGTCGGGGCATCTGCTCACAGGATGGAGAGTGGCAAGAACAAGTTTTTATTGCAAGATATTGTAGGGAAGACAATATTTCCCGAGCATTTCTTGAGAATAGCTGAAGTTGCTCAGAAACTTGGAGCTGGTATACATCACAATAAGTTCTATATTAACAAAATAGAAAGCTCTACGAGACAACTTTGAACGAGGTGTGTTTTCTTTATAAAAGATACATGGTGCTTTGTTCCGAGGAGAAACTCGTTAATGACACTTGACTGAACTCGATTCATTCTCCTCCCTTCATGACATGCACTCTTCAACCTCAAATCTAAATTACTGGCTACTGGACGCGGTTAGCCGGTATACGCAACTATTATATAGCATATTATATAAAACGCTGAACAGGGGTGTCGTGGCTAGACTGATAGTGCACTCAGTGTACATAACGAGTGTCTGGTTCAATCCCCGGCACGGGGGAAACTTGTACATGTTTCCTCATACTGCCTGCCGGTTCACCTAGCAGTAAGTAGGTATCTGGGTATTAGTCTACTGTTGTGGGTCGCATCCTGTGGGACATGATTAAAGGACTCCAATGAAAATAAGAGTCCTCGATGACGCAATGTATCCTGCGTGGCTAACACTCCGGGTTAAAAATTACAACAAAATCTTAGTATTTTTTAGCGAGGCACGAAGTCACACTTGCGACAGAGGCATGACACGGGAGAGGATGACTACCAAAATGTCTTAACAATACGATGAACATGCCTGTGTTTGACATACAAGACTCATTATTAGCCTTCATATATCTCCACATTAATTATACTGGCAGCCGAGGTAACATTTCCCGAAAACATCAACAGGTAAACCATACCACGGGAGGGATTGAACCCGCGGTCAGTCTCAAAACTCCAGACCGTCGCGTTAAGCCACTGGACCAGCTAGCTAGCTGGTCCAGTGGTTAACTGGACGGTCAGTGGCCCGTGGTATGGTTTGTTTGCAATCGTGTCATTACGATTTCGTGAGTCATCAACAGGTAGATAGATTCCGACCACTGCATCACTACTCATCACCATCAGGCTCCACCACACCATCAACAGGCTCCACCACACCATTAACTACCATCGAGGTCTACAAACTGCTGCCAATAGGTGAAAAATAACACTGCCTAACTTGCGTGTGTTCAACAGGGAAGCAGTTATGAAAGCTGTTCATGTAAACGAGAAAACAGGGAAAAAATCGGGTTGGTTTCAGTGGGATGGCTCGTGGCTCAACTGATAACACCTTCAGCTTAACACAAAACAACTTGGGTTATGTTCTAGCATAAATAGAAACGTTGGGCATGTTTCCTTACCCCTGCTGCCCATGTTCGCCCTCCAATAATATTTATGTCTACAAGTAGATGTACAAGGTATATAGACCAAGCTGACATCAATGACATACTACTATATAGAAAGCCCCTTGTTATGCAGAGCATTTCGGGCAAATTAGGCCAGTTTTATCCCCAGGATGCGACCCACACCAGTCAACTAACACCCAGGTACCTATTTTACTGATAGGTGAACATGGACAGCAGTTATCATCGGGAAAAGTCCTAATGTTTCCAGCCGTACCAGGGATCGAACCACAAACCTCAGTGTGAGAGCTGAGGGCGCTACCAGCCGAGCTACGGGACCTGGGTGGGTCACATCCTGGGTCTTGGGTTACTAATTCTCAGGGTTAATTATCCAAACAAATTTTTGTTGGTCAGTCAGGCGGTGTAATTTCCTTTAAAACATTGTGCTACTGTATGAACTAATTATTTCGTAGCTACGCACTGTCACTTCTCATACCAGTGTTCCCAGGTTCCACACCAGTGTTCCTCACCCCAGGCTCTCCAGTATTCTCTTATCGACGCAGAAACAATAAAAATATGTAATATACTGAATAAGAGACCTTGAAGTCAGCGTTAGTTTATCAAATAAAAGAAAACTTGAGTGAGCGAGTCAGAATACTAACACCCGTCAGCAGATTCTACCACACACTGCTGACATAAATGAACTATTCACTATAAGTGTCATGAACTACTGTGTGTGTTTCGTAGGTGGTGACGGGGTGGTAACCTCCCTGTGACTGGAGTAGGGGCACTCTCCTCCCTGTGACTGGAGTAGGGGCACTCTCCTCCCTGTGACTGGAGTAGGGGCACTCTCCTCCCTGTGACTGGAGTAGGGGCACTCTCCTCCCTGTGACTGGAGTAGGGGCACTCTCCTCCCTGTGACTGGAGTAGGGGCACTCTCCTCCCTGTGACTGGAGTAGGGGCACTCTCCTCCCTGTGACTGGAGTAGGGGCACTCTCCTCCCTGTGACTGGAGTAGGGCAGGCACCCACCACACCACTGACTGACTGCAGTGACTACCTCAAGCCAGTCAGGTGATAACTTCCTTATCTCCCTCTTTCTTATCTGTTCACCTCTAGCTTCTCACACGCACAGGTGTACCCCCCCCCCGGCTCACTTGGCTCTTCAAAAGGCCCTTCGCCCTGGCTCTTCCCCCCTCCCCCTGGGTCCTCCCTTACCCTCTGGATAAACTAATCTACGAGTGGCCAGCGATTATGGCACTTCCGGTCTCTCCTGTCAGCTGCCTGATGAACTTTAGTTTACCTTCTGACACACAAGGGTAGACACTCCGAGGTGTCCCTGTTTGCAGATGACGAAGTTGATGAGAAGAGTTCATTCGATCGAAGACCAGGCAGAACTACAAAGGGATCTGGACAGGCTGCAGACCTGGTCCAGCAACTGGCTCCTGGAGTTCAATCCCACCAAGTGCAAAGTCATGAGGATTGGGGAAGGGCAAAGAAGACCGCAGACGGAGTACAGTCTAGGGGGCCAGAGACTACAAACATCACTCAAGGAAAAAGATCTTGGGGTGAGTATAACACCAGGCACATCTCCTGAAGCGCACATCAACCAAATAACTGCCGCAGCATATGGGCGCCTGGCAAACCTCAGAATAGCATTCCGACATCTTAATAAGGAATCGTTCAGGACCCTGTACACCGTGTACGTTAGGCCCAAATTAGAGTATGCGGCACCAGTTTGGAACCCACACCTAGCCGAGCATGTAAAGAAACTAGAGAAAGTGCAAAGGTTTGCAACAAGACTAGTCCCAGAGTTAAGAGGTATGTCCTATGAGGAGAGGTTAAGGGAAATCAACCTGACGACACTGGAGGACAGGAGAGATAGGGGGGACATGATAACGACCTACAAAATACTGAGAGGAATTGACAAGGTGGACAAAGACAGGATGTTCCAGAGACTGGACACAGCAACACGGGGGCACAGTTGGAAGCTGAAGACACAGATGAATCAAAGGGATGTTAGGAAGTATTTCTTCAGCCACAGAGTAGTCAGGAAGTGGAATAGTTTGGGAAGCGATGTAGTGGAGGCAGGATCCATACATAGCTTTAAGCAGAGGTACGATAAAGCTCATGGTTCAGGAAGAGTGACCTAGTAGCGACCAGTGAAGAGGCGGGGCCAGGAGCTTGGACTCGACCCCTGCAACCTCAACTAGGGAGACGCAGCTACAGCCAGCACATAGACAGCAGCACTAGCAGCACCAGCGCCACCACACACAGCAGCAGCAGCGGCAGTAGCAACACTAGGACACAGCAGTGGCAGCAACAGGACACAGCAGCAGTGGCGGCAGCAACACTAGGACACAGCAGCAGTGACAGCAACAGCAGAACTGGGCAACTGGGTCGCTGACACACAGACCGAGCTATGATTCGTACGACACGAACCACGACTGGTCACAGACCTCTTCCACAAAGCAACCAGGAGATGTTGTCGCTGCATCGACAGATATAAAAATTAGGTGATAAAAAAAAACAAGCAAGGGTTAGGAAAACCTGGCATCTAGGAGAAATGCCTGAGGTGCCAGCAGCACTCAGGCATTAATGAGTTATGACAAACTGTAGCTCGATTGTTAGCGCATTCAGCTCTCACAATGAGAAACCACGACACGGGCAGGGATTGAACTCGCGATGAGTCGTAAAATCCAGACCGACGAGTTAGCTACTGTGCCAGCTGGCTACAATAAGTGTCATCCAACTAGGTATATTTATACACCATAGGATGGTTAGCATAGGCACCACTGTGACCACAGATGCAAGTTTTTACTGATGAATCTCCGGCCAGAGTAGCCTGGAGTTTTACGACTCACCGCGAGTTCAATCCCCACCCGTATCGTGGTTTGTTTGCAATCGTGTCATTATGATTTGAGTCGCACACAGGTCCGGGGATCGATTCCCCAGCACGGCTGGAAAACATTTGGACGTGTTTCCATAAGACATCTGCTGTCCCTGTTCACCCATCAGTTGGTGTGAGTCGAATCCTGGGACAAAACTGATGTAATTTGCCCGAAATCCTCTGCATAACAAGGGGCTTTCTATACAGTAGTATGTCATTGATGTCAGATAGGACTGTATACCTTGTACATGTACTTGTAGAAATAATTATTAATTATATTATTATATTACTTATTATTATTATTATTATTATTATTATTATTATTATTGTTATTATTATATGTCGACCCTCCGACACCACTCCTGGGTCCTCAGGTGACCAATGCTAATACTTCCACCACAAGACACCCAATGATGTACCACCTGCTGGTCTACCAGATGGTCCACCCCTCTATGGGTGATGCACACGCACACCAAGAAAGAGCACCATGACAAACACCTAGGATACACCACCAGGACGCAAAAAAAAAAAAATTACCAGGACACATTCACACAATAAAATACCAGGACAAAACAGGCAACAATTATCCGTGCCACTAGGTCCCACAGACTGGGAACTGCCTGCCGGCGAGCACTAATCTCAACAGCGATAATTCGATTATTAGGTGTCACTGCTGGTAATAATAGCAGTTCACTACACCAAGACGAGACTGGCGACTCCCCTCCACAGTGCTGCACTGATGTTGTGCATCACTGCAGCACTGTGCCTGCTGCCTGACACCCTCTACCAACAGTTACTGCCAGGACACTGTCAATGCTGTTACTGCTGCCTATACCTATCAGTGAACCTTTCGCACAACGAACACACACACTCCCTCCCTCCTTCTAATACCCCATACCCCTCTTTCCCTCTAATTCTCCCCCACTCCTTCCACCCTACCACACAAAGCTAGGAAACCACAAGCTGGTAGGGAAATTAGGAACTAGACCCCCCCCCCTTCCTTCCTCATACACGCTGATGGAGATTTCTCCATTAAAAAGTCGATTTATGCTGTGTCTGTTACAGACCATGGTTTAAACCTTGATAATAGATACCAACAAACTGATTTAGAAAGACACGTAAGCAAACACCAGAACATATTTGAAAACGTTTCGGCCCTGGGACCTTGATCACTTCAAGCTTGAGGAGTAGGATGCTATGATCTACTGTATCAAAAGCTTTCTTAAGGTCGATAAAGAATCCAAGCGGGTATTCATTTTTTTTCCAGTGTTGTGTAAAGTAGGCCTAGTATTTTTTATTATTGCGTCATTTGTGTTTTTGTTTCTTCTGAAGAAAAACTGGCAGGGGTTAAGGATGCTTTGTCCAAGTTGGACCGAAACGTCGTCGTAAGCTCCTCTCTCCTATGTGTGGGTTATCTGCGTATTACGCCACCATCCATTATTACCACACCAAAATCTCTGTCTCGCTACATCTTAAGGAAGGAGGGGGGAGAGAAGCTCTTATGAATACATAATAAAAATCTTTACTTATTTATACTCAACGAAAGTACACATACCCTGACTCTCTACGCGAACCAAAAGTCAAGTAGCAGTAATATATCTACTCAGCCAGATCTCACAGTAACTATGGACGCCCAGTAGAAACCAAGCAATTCTCACATGCTGGAGCCAGCATGCAATACTGCACTAGGACATGTGCAACGGTTAGGTATCTATTCCGAAACGTTTCGTCTACACAATAAGCTGCTTAAGTCGAATACAGAGGTAACAGAAACAGCAGAGATGTGAAGACGATGTGATCAGTCCATCACCCTGGAAGACGTAGTTTTGAGGTGATCAGTCTCTTAGCCTGGAGAGATCTGCTCATATATACTCATGAAAGTCAGTGTCCAAAGATTCCAGCCGCCCTTTGGTCTGAGATAAGAACATAAGAAAGGAGGAACACCGTAGCAGGCACCTACTCCAAGGCTGAGGGACTGATTACCTCACCTTCTGTATATAGTTCTACTGTCTTCAAGTTATGTCCTGGAATTTGTATTGATCAAGCCACTGGATGGCGAAACGTCTACAATAAAGATATCCAGATGTTGCACATGTGTCTTAACTTTCATATCGTCGGTATTTTATACATTTCTTGCACAACTTGGAGAAAGTATTTGAGGTGGTCAGTCCCTCAGCCTGGAGACGAGTTCAGTTCCATGGTCTGGAGACGTGAAGCTGAAGCATGAGAACAAAGTCTTAAATACCGTCGAAGGTGAGGTGGAAGATCTCGAAGAGGACGACGACGAAGTTAGCCAGGGAGTAAAGGTTCCACTCTTGCCCTGGTCTGAAATGTCTGACCAATAGGAAGTCTACAGAACCAGATTCGATGCCAGTGACTATTCCTTGGATCAAGAGCCCAACACTCGCATCAAGAAACCCTCAAAGGATCAATTATCTGATGCATATTATAAATGAGCGAGTGGCTAATTTTAATGGCGGTTCAATTAACCGAATTTAAATTGGATAAAATAATTACTTTTTCAATTAGCGCTCTATTAAGGCAATTAATTACATCTGGTCAGAAAGGTTCAATTGAACGAGGTGTTACTACCCCAGTGTTAGTAGCTACAACAATGCTTTAATTACTGTTACATTATTATTATTATTATTATTATTATTATTAAAAAGGTCATTTATAGTCTGGGATACGAGAGGTAATCGGGTTAGATTCGAGGAAGGGAAAGGCAATTCCAATTTATTTGAGCAAGAATCAGTCACCAGTGTCAGCGACGCCACGACTGACACCAGGGGAAGAACACACAATCTTGGAACCATCACTCGTCCGTACATCCAAGAATCTCGACCAGAAGAACGGCTTTCACAATGTAGGTGAACCCTCTGCCAGGAAACTATCGTTATCCTACAAAGCCACAACCCTACTTGCCCATTCCGTGCAGATTCTTCTCAATCGAAGCTCTCTTCAGCATTCCCCACCCTACTCTTCGCGTCACTATATAGTTCACTACATACACTCATGCTCTCTCTGCTCAGGTAGATCTGTTTGTGACTTGATCGAAATGTAGTCAATAAAGCACCGCATTATACAGAGTTTGTGTATTTTTTCCACTCGGCAGGCCATTACACAACTAACCCCAGTGT